AATCCAGGCATGTGTCCTGACTGGGAATTGAACCTCGATTGTCTGGTTCACAGGCCCACATTCAATCCACTGAGCTACGCCAGCCAGGGCGGGAGAAGACAGTTTTTGTGTGTTCTAGGTCCTCAATGAAAATTTGTCATGACTTAATGGATGATTAAATGAATGAATGACTGGACAAAGTCTGGAGTATCCATCAGATTATATCAGTGCCCTGATCAGTATAATGTCCTAGAACTGCTTTGGTTAGACCTGTTGTGGTATAGTAGGTTGGGATTTTCTTTATACCAAATAAGAATATTAAGTAATTTTGCCTTGGCTGGTGTGGCTCAGTGAATTCAGTGCCAGCCTGAGAACCAAAGGGTCGCCAGTTTGATTCTGTTGGGGCACATGCCTGGGTTGCAGCCCAGGTCCCCAGTAGGGGGCATGTGAGAGGCAACCACACATTGATGTTTCTCCCCTCTCTGTTTCCCTCCTTTCCCCCCTATTTCTAACAATAAAAAAATAAAATCTTTTAAAAAAAGAATAATAAGTACTTTTAAATCCTAAAGTACTTTATGATTATCAGCTAATTTTGTTATAATTGTTGAGTCCATTTGATAAATATCAGACTTATCTTTTACAAGATGATGCTTTGATGCTGTACAATTGTCCAGCAGTTAGACAGCATATCTTTTGTCACAGAAAGTCCAGCTCTATTACTTTACTTACATATTTGGCACTATTTGGCATTATTTTGACTATTTTGTAAAAGTCTCCTGCTCTGAGTTCATTAGCGATGGTAGGCACACCATTTCTTATTTGAAAATTAAAAATGATAATAGTTTTTTTATACATCCCATAATGTTCTTTCTTACATATAAGAATATAATAAGCCTACAAATACTTCTTGAGTGACTGGATAAATGGATTTGACTTAAAGAAATGTTGACTAAATTGATTTTGAGCATTTATCACATATCCTTATAGAACTTGCTGTTTAATAAGGCTGCAGACACATGAATAAATAGTTACAGTTCAATGTATTAGGTGCTACAGTGGAAAGATACTAAGGGAACCATAGGAGCAAGTCCATCTTGGTGACACGAAAAACTTCTCAGAGGTGGTGCTTCTTGAGCTGAGCACTGCTTCCAGCTTTCCCTCACCTTACCTTTTGCACCATTTAAATGCTTAGCTTGTCATTCCGATGCATTCTTTCTGCATAGTTCAGCTTTGATACTTTCTGAGCAGCAGCACAGCATACTTTCCTGGAGATAAAAGTTTTTACTCTGTTTTCTTTTAAGGCAGATGTCTCATCAAATAGAGGGAGGACACTAACTAACAGAATTCACTATTTTTTTCCTCTGTTGCCTTTGTTTTTGATACTGTTGTCACTAGAACCTTTTCCACCCTTGGCTTATCCCCCAGTTTTTGCCTCAGCTTTCAGGGAAGTAAGTCTATGATGAAATATTCACAGCCTAGCTATGAACTTGGGTCTAATGAGCACCGAACACATAAAAACAGTTTATCAACTTAATACTTTTGGTTCTGCATCTCAGAGTTCAGTGTACCTAGGTAAAAAGATCATCAGATCTCCAAGAGGGCACAGTAAGTTGTGGGAGAGACAAATATTTGCTAGAAACTGGAGGAGCTTTCCTGGAGAGACATTATATATCTGCAAGAATCTAAGAGAAAGAGGTGTTTTTTCTATTGATGCTTAGCCTTTGTAATAGATGATATCGAAGATGTCCCCCTGTCTCCCTGGTCATGCTGGTTTTTCTTTTCTGGCTCAGGTTTCCAGAATTGTTAAGGAAAAAGTCAGGACAAGGTTAATAGCTAGGCCTCCAAACTGGCAGTCAGGAGAGGATTATGCAAAAACTTTCCTCTCTGGAGTCCTCCTAAAGCACTCAAGTTAGGAAATGCATTGTTAAATATTAATTAAAATCCAGAGAAAACATATTTTCTAATAAAACCATCCATTTGTTTTCTGTAACCCAAAGGGTTATTTGTAAAGAATAACAGAATGTAAGTATCTCTGATGAATTTGGCCTGGATTAGGACCTCTCTTTCTGAATAGGCTGAATCATTGTATTTAGACAGGAGGGAGTGAACTTGCACAACAGGTGACACACAATTGAACTTGAGTCCTTCCTTAAGTATGCCCCCAACCCCCGTCTTACTCCTCTCCTTAGTGTTTCTAGCAGTATAGGTTTGGCTTCTAATCTTATTTTGCTGGCAAGCTGCAAAAATGTCAGGTTTTTCTGACTGTTCCTCTGCCTTCTTTCTGATTACCCTTTTAAGCAACACTGATTGCAGGAAATTGCTGTGGTGCAAGGCGGGTGTCACAACACAGTGATTAAAACCCGTGTGTGTCATTCCCTGCCTGATTGAAGTAATCACCCGGAGGGGAAGAGCAGATGGAAAAACCTTCCAAATGGGGAGGAGGTCGGGGGACTGTTTCTCATCAATTAGGTTTAAGGATTTTGAGTTAAAGAATCAAAGCTAACATGAGCAAGGCTTATGTTTTTAGTCATGTTTCATTCTGAATCTTCAAAACTTCTGAGCAGGGTCTGGGTCTCTGAACATTGTTTTCCTAAGGAAAACAGGTTGTGCTATTTACCAAACACAAGGTCCCCTGTATACCTAACTGTAAAATAGTAGTTGGGCATATCAAGGGGACAGATACTAGAATGTAAGTGGGATCGTAACCGGAAAATACACTGGCGTTCGGGCTGCCTGTCGCTACCAAACCCAATAAGCAATGACAGCGATTGAATCTTTATGGGCACTTTATTCAGGTGGCTATTGATCTGAGAAGATGGCAGGTTCATATCCTAATAGACCATCTTCCCTTCTCTTTCCAGGCCAGACTTTTTATAGCAGGCAATACACAAGGTGCAGTGAGGGCTTTGAGATTCAGGGAGGACAGAGTGAAAGAAGCTGCAACATTCCCGTCCTGGGCAGTTTGCTGTTCCCAAGGGCAGGTGGTCAGGTGGTCTTCTGTCTCCCCCTAGAACACAAAATGCCTGGATGCCTCCATTTGTCCCCAGGTGGTAATCTTTAGCAGTGCCCCAGGAGATCGGCTGTTTTCCCAGGAGCTAGGACAGGTCTTAATCTATAGTTTCTGAAACAAAAGCTTTTAACATATACAATTACTTGCTAGGCTTATAACTTTTTATTTTAAGCTAAAATTTTCCAACTCTTGAGTCCCCTATCAGGATGAACAAGCAAGAAGAAAACAGTAAAAGCCTGAATAGCACAATTCTACAAGACTGCCAACCCCCAACATTTCTCTTCAGATGCCAATGGAATGTACAGGTTGTCACCTGTGCTTCTGATGGACTACCTATAGATTGGAAGTTCTGACAACTCCCTTTATGGGTGCAATTAATTTGCTAGAGTAGCTCACAGAACTCAGAGGAACATGTACTTAGCTTTACCAGTTTATTTTAGGACCTAAATGAATAACCAAATTGAAGAGATGCATGGGGCAAGGTATGTGGGAAGAAGCTGAAGACCCTTTGCTTTCTCTGCTCTCCTTACACCTCTGTGTGTTCATTCACCAACTTGGGATCCAGTCCTTTCTGGTTTTTATGGAGGCTTCATTATGTAGGCTTGATTGATTAAGCCATTGGCCACTGGTGATTGAACTTTATTGCCAGCCCCTCTCCCTTCCCCTGAGGTCAGAGTTGGGGGGAAGTAGGATTGAAAATTCTGACCCTCTCTCATAAGATTGGTTGTGGTTTCCCCCCCAAGCAGTTCCCAACTTTAGGTTATCTAGGGGCTTTCCTAAGAAAAGATACTTTATCACTCTAGTCACTTAGGAAATTCCAAGTTGCAAAAACTGTTAGCTGCAAAACTGTTTTAGGAGTTCAGTACCAGAATGAGGAAGAAGACCAAATACATAGTGTGCATTATAAATTACAATAGCACCAGTAATATGTTTATATTATTTAGTTGTTTTGACAAAGTATTTGTCCCAGTGGGGCATGGCTATTTGAAATAGTTGTCAGTATAGAAAATACAGCTTAATATTTGAAACTTGATTTCTGTCTAGATCATGACCAATCCCATTTTATTCCTGTCTTATGTCTTCTGCTCTTTTGCTTTCTGCGTGTTGCTGAACATGGAAAGAGTGGGCTCGTGGACTTTTACTTGGGGCATTAGATCATCATTACTGAAATGTAGAATATTAAGAATCAAACACTGTAATGCTGTTGAAGGCACCCGCTAATGATTTCTTATCTCTTGGTCTCCCTCAGGCACAGAACCCTGGCATTTCTATTTAATGAATGGATTTCTGAATTTTAATGTAGTCTTTGCCTTGGCTGTCCTGGTCTTACCACTGACTTCTCTCATGGAACACCTGCTGCAGAGATTTCATGGTGAGTGGCATAAAGGATGATAGATTTTGGGGGAGGAAAGAGCAAGTAACAATGTATACCAAGAAATTAAAAGGAATCTGCTTATTTATTCTCCATTTTCTTCCTATGGAAATGGTTGGCTTTTTGAATTTTCAATCTGTATGAGAAGATTATTTAGACCTCTGTGAAGATTGGGTTAATAATTGCAAGTTAAACTGGCAGGGAGGAGCTTTATAGCCCTTAGAGAGAGGAAGTCAACATAATTTACAGAACCACCCAGGGGGGCAAAAACACTTATAAAATCTCAGAAGATAAGCCTATTCGATTGAGTCTTGTATTTTTTTTTGTCCAGAAAAATTAACAGGTTTATTTATATTGTTGTAAAGTTGAACTGCTTGAAACTTGTTCAGTGAAACACCTTGACTTGCATTAATGCTTTATGTCCCCCCATTTATATTTTTTAAAAAATCACACACAAATGAAAATGGAAAAACAGCCAATACCTGATTTCTGTCCCCTATTTTCCACTTGCAGTCATATACTTAGGTACCTTTTTGACCCCATGGAAAAAAAATATCAAACGTCCAGAACTACTAATAACAGGAAGAAGAGAATTTTTTTTATTTTAAAGAATGAAATGTTTCCCATCATAGTGGATTCTTAAGCATGTTCTCCACATATGCGGCGTGCTAGCAGGATGTCTTTTGGCATAATTGTTACACGTTTTGTTACCGAACAATAGGTCCGAGGGGGGGGCAATATTTGGCCCACCTAGGGATGCCAAAAACTGCTACAGAACAGGGGCCCCTCCCAAGGACAGAATACTAATATCTACTGGGCTCTTATGTCCACCGCCAATTGGAAAGATATCTCTCAATGCTAGAGATTTGTGAAAAGGAAACAAAATGTTTATTTAATGCTATACAGATTTAACGTAGTGACCCGATGTCCCCATAAAAATATCAAAGTACTTCAGGATAACCACAGACACCCACACAGTGCTCCCTTCTCCCAGTGTCCCAACTCCAGGTACTGTAAATCAGGAAAAGAGCACACATCTGTGTTTCAGGCCGTTGGCACCGTCAGCTGTGTCACCGTGCAGGCAGGATCTCTCTCTAGTTAATCCAAAAGTCATGTGGCACCCTCTCACGGTCTACTGGCAAGAGTTCTTTGTACCCAGTTCCAGTCAAAGTCTCTCCTGCTTTCCAGGCCACTTGGCCAAAGGGGGCACCCCAAAGCCGTGTGGGCCTCTTCTACCAAAGCTGCAGGGGTCCACACTCCACTAAAAGCATGTGTCTTTCTTCTTCACCTGGCTGCAGGGATCTCCTTTCTGGCAAAGCTGCATGGTTTTCCCTTTCACCTGGGAAAAAGGGGGTCCGCACTCTGCCCCAAATTCTGTGGCTGTCTCTCCTCTTCACCTCGGCAAGAGGGGGGTCTTAACTCAGCTGAGACCACATGGCTCTCTTCCCAATGGCTGCTGCATCTGCGTTTAAATCTCCGTACCCATCCTCCTTTGTGGCCCCATTTCTGACTCCTCCTACAGTCAGTTACACCTGCCAGGACTCTCATACCCTCCCAGCTTTACTGAGCTGCCATCATTAGTCTGGGCAGTTATGGCCCCATAGCGTGGAGCCAATCAATTTCAGGCTCTCACGCAGGTGCGTAACCTGTGTGTAACCTGGGGACCTGCCCCTAGTTACATCCTGGGTAGAAGCCACTCCCTTCTCCCTGGCTCAAAACTTGGCCACAGCTATTAACATATCTATGAAACCAGTTAAAGGTTATAGATATGTTAAATAATCATTTCAGAGGTTAGCTGCAAAACTGTTGCTATGCAAAACAGCTCTCAATGGCCCTGCTCCATTTGTTCCTTTCCCTTGGGGGCGGTGAGGACATCTTAATTATTTCTTGGACACCCTGAGCTCTGGACCCCATCCCAAATCCTTTTCTGGGGCCCCCCTCTTGGCTGCACCCTGTTACAGTTTGGCGTGGACAGCACACAGGCTGGTGTCTTCAAAAAGACCAATCAGATAGGCTTCACTTGCTTCCTGCGAAGCACCAGTAGCTGCACTCTGGAAGTGCAAATCTGCTTTGAAGTCCTGAGCAATTTCTCGCACCAGACACTGAAAGGGAAGTTTGCAAATCAGAATTTCAGTGGACTTCTGATAATGTCTAACTTCATGAAGTGCCACAGTACCAGGTCTGTAACGAAGAGGTTTCTTCACCCCTCCAGTAGAGGGCACACTCTCGAGAGTGGCTTTGGTAGCCAGTTGTTTTCTCGGTGCTGTACCACTGGTTGATCTGTGGGCAGTCTGCTTTGTATGAACCATGGTATAGGGACCTCTTTGCTTACCCTCCTTCTCCTTTGGCTGGAGCTTGGCAAGCTGGAGGAGGTGTTGGCGTTAGAGAGCAGTGGTGGCTGTGAACCTGAGTCTTCTGTTTTGTAAAGAAGTGTGTGTTAACATGATAGATGGCTTAAGATAATGCTAGAGGCAAACATTCTTTGGGAAATTACTTCCACCAAAATCTGAGAACCAAGCCAAACTGGATCCTGAAGTGAGAAGCTTTGCACTTCCTAAGGAGCATGATGCTTTTTTGTTTGTTTGTTTTGCTTCTATATTTGCAGTATTGTGAAAATTTTAATTTGTCACTTGCTTGCTCTGCTTCTGTATTGCACAGCCAGTATTTTCTCAAGTTGTCATGGCTTTGGATATCCAGTGCTCATAGTTTCTTTTATGGAAGACAGATTTGAGCAGAAATTTATATGATGCTTGGAAAGAGATTTTATTTCAGACTTTTCAGTCTGATTTGGATGCCATGAAACTGATCCCTCTGTAGGAGGGTGTGGCCAGGGGGCCCCCCAAAGAAGAATTTGCAGTGAAATCCAGAACTCAGGGTGTCCAGGAAAAATGAAAAAATATGGGATGCCCTCACCCCCACAAGCCTGAGCTGGGGGGATGGGGTACATGGAGCAGGGCCATTGAGGTGTTTTGCATAGCAACAGTTTCATGGATAACCTCTAGAATGGTCATTTAACATATCTGTAACCTTTAACTGGTTTCATAGATATGTTAAATAGCTGTGGCCATGCTTTGAGCCAGGGAGAAGAGACTGACTTCCACTCAAGATGTAACTGGGAGGCAACTTCCCAGCCCCCGTTACAGTGCCTGTGTTAGAGCTTGGAGACAGCTGGCTCCACGCCATGGGGCCACGCCTGCCCAGACTCACTATGGCAGCCCAATAAAGCTGGGAAGATATGGAAGTCCTGGCGGGTGTAGCCAACTGTGGGAGGAGTCAGAAATGGGACTTCAGTGGAAGATTGGCATGGGGATTGGTGGCAGCCATTGGAAAGAGAACCTAGTATTTTTGGCCAGAATGGGGACTCCCGCAGCCATGTGACAGAGATCACCATGTAGCTTTAGCAGAGAGAACCATGCGGCTTTGGCCAGAATGGGGGGACCCCCCTCCCCACCACAGCCATGAGAAGAATCATCATGCAGCTTTAGCAGAGAACCACCATGCGGCTTTCTATTTCTTTTCCTGAGATACTGTACCTCAGACTGGGCAAAAGGGGAAAGAAGGACCATGTATGCTTGTGGGTGTTTTAAGGGACTTTGGGATTTTGATGAGGACATTAAGTCATTACTCTTAAGTCTGTATAACTTGAATTAATAATTCCTTTTCACCAATCTCTAACATGGAGAGCTATAATTCTCTGGCAAAGGGAAAGGCGAACCTAGTACAGGGGGTTTCCAGGAGAAGGGGGGTCAACTAGGTAACATTGTAGAAGCCCCTTCCCTGGTGGCCGGTCTGGGAAAACCATGGGAGAGACCACATGTACAGTAGCTTTACAACTACTTGTCACAGTAAAAGCCTGCCAAAACTAGCCAGGAAGGATCCGCCCTGTAAGAATAGAGTCCCTCCAGCCCATGAGGTCAATCTCTGCTTGGAGTTGGCCTGCTCCCATGTTCTCTGCTATAAACTCTGGGTGTTTAGTTCAAATCTTTGTCCCGATCCCCAAGAACCTGGTTACCTGCACCCACCTGTGACACCTCCATTCCACCCCTTATTCCGCTTTTCTACTATTCCTGGTTTATGAAAAATTCGCTATATTATAGTAATAGACTATGATAACAGCCTTCAGAGTTACTTTTGTTTTGTGTGAGGGCTGTTTTAACACAACTGTTGCTGGTGAAAATCAGCTCTTTTGCAGTGTCAAGAGAAAAGAATATCAAATGGCACATGTGTGGAGAAGGTTAAACATCATGGCAAAATTTTATTGGAGTTGAGGGAATTAACCCTCAGGGACATAGAAAGCAGGCAGGCTCTACCAGTAGCTGCCACTAGGTTCCTGTTAATCCTCCATATATTTTCTTGGTTCTTGGTAAAGAATAGGGTGCCATTGAAACCATCCAACCCAACTTCTGGATTTTTACTGGCTTCAGTTGGGCCCTCCTCCCAACCAATCTCTTTCCTGGACCTAGTGGGTCCCTAGTGGGACCTAGTGGGAGCATATTAAGTAGAAATGCCTCCCCTTGCACTATCTTGACTTCTATTGCTCACGTCAAAAAGTTCCTCACATGTCATCTGGTCTCCACTGCACACGTGCCCAGCAGAGGAGTTTCCCCGCATCCTCCCTCTGGGAGTCCAGCACCCAGCCAGCAGCACCCTGAAGGAGAGTTTCCTGTCTGCCCTGCATTAATGTTCCTTGGTGGCTATCTCCGGAATGTGTGAATGAGTCTATTTGTACTATGGCTTCCTAGTAAACTCAGTGGAATGCTGTCCTAATATCTGCTTCAGCTTTTGAGCATATTAAATTAAGCTTAATATTTATTCACCTCCCTAGTTTATTAAGCTTAATATTTGATTCCTTGTGCTTCCTTTCTTATATTAATAATCAGCTAACTACACTAATATTTTTCTCTATGAAGACTTTGGGCCTTGTAATCTTATAAGGGTAAATAGATGAAGGCCTCATCCTCTGTAGCTGATTTTTGCTGTCAAAGATCGTAGTCCTGCCTATTCCCAGGCCCAGAGGGTCTTCTTATCTGCTGAAGGAGGAAAGGAGCAAAAACGGAAGGAGAGTCTTTATACAGGGAAGAGGGGTTTTGCAAAGTCCAGGTTAGTCATCTGTGCCTGAGAGGCAGCATACGTGATGTCTAGAGAACGGCGATGTTGGATAAGCTGGGTTCCTTGTGGTTTCGAGGCGACAAATTTAATAAGAATGATAGAAGACATAGTCTAAAAATGAAAATTATAGCAACTAAAGGTCTGCTGAGAGGTAAGAACCAGGAGATGGAGAGACTAACTTGATAATGTCCCAGATTAGGTTGGAGGAGTGGCTTCCCTGGACCAAGGTGTGTCACACCTGTCTAAAGCGCTCTCATTTACCGTATTTAACTCAAATTCTGCTTGGGAACATTCTAAGATTTCCCTCACAAAGACCTTTGGGCCCTTTGTATCTGAACCATTAGGGCATAAAAGGAAAGCAGTTTAAGTGAAACCAATAGACTGCCCCATACTTCACTGACTCATCCAGCGAGTCCTGACCACAAGTCAATCCAGCCAAACCACTGAGTCTTACTTCAGGAGAAGGTGATGTACATGGGCTTCTAAAGAGAGGCCTATGCCATGTAAACAAGCAACCAGGCAAATAAGTTCATAGGCATACACCCTATGAAAACAGAAGGAAGAACAGAAAGGTTAATGAACACATCAAATCATAAAACAGTTTCTGAATTTGTAAGACTATCAGTTGAGAAGACTTCCAGATACAAGGCTTTGCGGGTATAAAAGCAAACAGCAATTGCTGGAAGAGGGGAAATCCCCAAGCCAGGTTCTGAGCAGGGACCTGAGCACCCGCCCTCTTGTCTTGTCTGCAGGCTCCTGTTGCTGAGCCACAGGAAGCAGGGAGTCTGCACAGTCTGAGACAGCGGGAGAAGGCAAAAGGGGAATGGAGCTGTGTGCACACATTGCTCTCAGATCAGCTGGGCCTGGCAGTGGCTGTAGGAAGTCCCCTTTCCTGTGCAGAAGGTGGAGATGTACTAGCTGGGCATACTCGGGGTTTCATGTGCTAGGAGTAAAATCCATGGCAGCAGTGGGTGTGTGCTTGCTCCCTGCATTCTGTGTTCCACTGGCACCCATATGTTCATTGCCCTGCAGGAACCCACAGCACTGGGACCGTTTTGCATACAGGACAGATTATTCCCAAGCTACAGTCTAAGCTGCATGGGGCTGGGACAGTGATACGATAAGTGGAAGAAATAGGCAGTAGCAGAGGGGTGAGGAGAGACAAGTGAAGTTCGAGCAGTTTTCTTTTTTCTTTATTTATGTTTATTTTTTAATCCTCACCCAAGGGTACGTTTATTGATTTTAGAGATAGAGGAAGGTAGGGGAGGAGAGAGAAAGAAGAGAGGGAGAGAAACATCAGTGTGAGAGAGAAACATTAATTGGCCCTCTCCTGTGTGCACCCTGACTGGGGATTGAACCCACAACCTTTTTGGCGCTTGGGACAATGCTCCAGTCGAATGAGCCACCCAGCCAGGGCAAAGATCAAGGAGTTTTACTGCAAGCCACAGCTCCTCCCACTTGTCCTGGCTCACCAGATGTTGGTGGTGGAAGTGAAGTTCTTGCAGTATCTTGAGAAAAAGCATTTCCAGGGACCCACAAGGGAAGATGAGGTCTGGTAGTAAGATTTACTTGGGTGCTTGATTCAAAATCAAAAGAGTGCCCCTCCTGGGATCTCAGTGTCCCATCTCTATCTATCCCACCATGGGAAAAGTCCAACCATGTGTTCAGTAAGGCTGAAACAAAGGCCAGCGCCCAGAGTTTCTGTGTGGTCTCAGTCCCCATCTCTCTAGCTTAGCTCATGTTCTCAACTGTGCTGCTGTGTCCAGGCTCTTACCTGGAGCCTATGTTTGGAGTTTAGCCATGCGACTGCTAAGGCCACATGGCTATGTAGAAAGAAAAGTCCAGTAAGCGGGACAAATCAGAATCATAGAGAGGAGGTGGTTTCATTGTTCCCCTGGGGTTATAAACAGGAGATTTTTTAAAATAACCAATCAACTTCCCAAGTTTTGGGGGCTCATGATGGGTCCACCCCCTAGTTAGACGGACAGGCTTCTATGCTGAAGCACCTGCTGGTGCACCCTCCAACAGTGGGTACTGGAGGGCAAGCAGTGTGCTCCTCAGGAGGTTTCCTGTGTTACGAGGACTCAGGCTCCTCAGCAGCAGTCCCCTGGAGTGTTTGTGAGTCTGTTTATACCGTAGCCTCTTAGTAAACTGAATGGGAAGCTGCTCTAGTATCTGCTTCAGCCTCCTAGTTTATTAA